CCAAGCTTTGTTTTTTAAAAAAAGGGGGGTGGCAAAAAATTTTTTTTTTTTTTTTTTTTTTTTTTTTTTGTATTTCATTTATTAAGGTAAGCTCTTGATCTTGTCAGAAATTGGTGTTTATATTATGAGCAACCCAACTGTGATGTCCTCCATCTGAGCCCTTACACCAACCGAGAGAGAAAATGATTAGAAACGGTAATGAAATACAAGCCGAGTTGAGCCTCCTTGAACACTTTTTTTTTTTTTTTTTTTTTTTTTACCCGTTTCTGCTCTGCTGCTGTCTGCATCCCAGATGACAGCTTTGCAACTTCAGCACTTGCATTTTTTTTGTGCTTAACAGGGGATAAAACTTCCACAGCAACAACATTCTTATATGCTGCCTCTGTAGCATTCTTTGAATTGTGTTTGCCATGTAAATATTGGCCAAGAGCCCGCCAGTAGCCACAAAGCCAGCCCCGCTTGGGACGTGGCCTTGCTGCTTGTGTTTGCCTTTGGGGGGCTTGCACCAGCGTGAACAAATGAAGTGCTGCTCTTGATAGGCAGCTAAGGTTAACTCGTGGCAGATCAATAAAGTCTTGACGTATGTCCTTCATATCGGTGCTCCCCATAAGTGTCATTTGAGCACAAAACCGAGATCTCAGACATCTCCAGTTTTCAGTCTTGCAGGCCTTTTGCACACGATGTCTTGCACAAAGATTAAAAATGGTGTTAGTTGGAATGGTTAAAAAAAAAAAATCAGAGGGGTTCTTTAGGAGTTTTTTTTTTTTTTTCTTTCGAATTCAAGCCAAATTCGTTGAACAGGATTCTTGTAATAAGTGGTCATATTTCAGGGTTGATTTTATTTTCCATGTGAACACGTCAAATGCACGTTCTGACTAATATTACTGCCTCATTATGTGAATAGCCTTAAATCTACTGCAAAGCAGAGGATGCACAAAACAGAACATCTTTTGAATGTATTCTGAGCAACTCACTGAACCGTTGTTTTTCCACACATGGTGGCATTTGTTCCTCCTTCTTTGGTAAATTTCATCACAGTCCCACCATTTTTTATTTCCCTTATGTGAACAATCTCTTTTTTCACTGGTTGTCTATGCAGCAAGGTACTGCTTTGGACTGAATTGCAAAAAAATATATATATCTAAGATTAGATATTTTTCTCTCCATTGTGTTAAACTCCAGTATAGATGTCTGTGTACTTCTGTGTATTTTTTATGGTTAAATTATTTGTATTTGTAAGTTTGTACATAATTTTCATGAAAACTGTATATTTCTTGTAAAAATAAACTTGCATCAAAAAAAAAAATTCCTACTTGCAGTGTTTTAATAATCAGTGTTGGTGCACATTTTCACAGCAGCTCCAACTCATCCATCTGTAAAATATTGCATAACGAAGACGATCTCTGTACACATCTTAAAATCTGTTTATTGCCCATCCTGAGTTAATGTTTAAAATATTTTAGTCGCAGAAGGACATAAATCTGGAAATGAAAACCAGCGGAAAATAAGATGATTTTTAACAGGCTGAAATCTTGGCACTGAATGCCTTTTTAAGAGTTCTTGGAAATGCAGAAATTAACTGGTAGACATACTGGAACATTTATTTAATTAAAGAGTAAGTGCCTTTCTCGTGGAAATGCAATTAGATAGGACTCTACTCTGGGGAAGTGAGTTCCCCAGAACTTTAGGGAACTTGTGGTGTTCCCTAAACAGGCTAGAACTGCCTCTGCCTGTAGGGCCCATTTGTAACTGCAGCCTATCAGATATGTATTAGTGAGACGTTTGAATGCCGAGACACTATAAAAGATCAAATGAATTTAATTACGAATAAAAATGCCTGGAGCAAAACAAAATGAAACCATGATTACTCATCCTTCCTTCATGAGTAATGGTGGTGGTTGAAAGCTGAAAATTAAACTGAAGAAATCAAAGCATCCATATATACTGCTCAAAAACATAAAGGGAACATTTCACTTTAATTTTGTGTGTGGCTCCAAATCCAGGCCTCCATTGGTTAATAAATTTGATTT